TTAACAGAAACAGAGAGGAAAGTGCAGTAAAAAAGTCAAAAAAATTAGTGTTTAGTGTTTCCTTGGATAGTGGTTGGTAAGACAGTATTTGAATAAAACCTCATTTTATTTCATAGATTTTTAAATGAAAGGGGAATATATTCATTAGGGAGTTCTGCGTATTGAAAGGGACCCTTTAACTATCCATTGTACTTACCAATGAAGGTAATTTTGGTACAGTTCAGCATTTTCAACAATCGTTACTCTTTTCCTCCCTCACTTATGCTTTTACTCACATTCATCTTTGTACAGTGGGATGCAGAAGAGAGAAAATGCAAAATTCAGAACTAAAGAGCAAGCAATCACTAATATTATACAGACTTCTCTGGGCTTTTGCTTTTCCAAACTAAACCTCATTGCCATTAGTATTGAGTGTAAGGATCCTGCTGGGTCTGTTGCGGTTGTCCTATTGACTTTCTCTGGATGAATAAGTTCCTGTCAAGAGCACCACTAAATATCCACTTTAGGAAAGCACTTTTAGCCATAAAGAGCACATTTTCCCCTTCCTTCCTAGAGCCAGAGCCAGCACTGCAAAGCAAAATGAAACTGCAGTCTTTGGAGACAGATATAATTATAAGTAAATACTTCATAGGCATTAATTAGCAACATTTTTTTTTAACCTGTGTTTTGTATAGGGAGTCAAATTTCCCTCTACAGAATTTGCTGGTGCTCCTGTACTTGCTACTACCACTTTATAAGTAATAATTACACCAAACACTTGTACTGCACCAGGCTTTAGATGCTTGAATAATACGAATCTAAATTATTTAGGTGTAGATTTTTCCAGTCTAAAAAACTAACAGAGTGATTCAGAATCAGCTGCAGTTCTTAGTGTTTCTTTCTGGTCAGCAACTGAATCAGGAATAGAAGAACCATGGCAAAAAAAAAAATAATAATAAAAAAAAGAACCCACAAAAATCCAGAATATGCATTTGGGAGTTCAGTTAATTATCTGAAAATAATTATCCAGAGACAACTGAAGTACTAGCTCATCTGCATTCAGCATCGATATCATAAATTGAAGGCTGAAGGAAAACCTACAGAAACAAGACAGGAGAAGAAAAAATTAAAGGTTGCCTCTTTATTGGTCTGTGGACTTCTAAAAACAGCAAAGCAAATGATCACTGAAAATATAAGCCACCAAGTCTGCATCTACCAGAAAAACTAAAAAACAGCCAGTTTCTTTGTGCTGTTTATGTCCAAGGCTAAGCAGTTTTTATTGGAGGCTACTGCTCTCACTAACATAGAAAAAGTTCATGTTGTACCACAGAGACTTACAGAATTAAAATTATTTTTCATAAGAAATTTCAGAATTCTCAACTCACGTGCCAGCTTCTCCCTTTTCTTTAGGGGCCATGAAAGATGTATGTTCCCTTGCTTTCCTAGGTGATGCTCAGAGTTAGGGCTCCTACACCAATGCAGAACACTAATCCCACAGGTATTGCTAAATATATACAAAGGTTTTATCAAGGTGAATATTATCAATAAGCCGATAATTTCTATAATAAATAGAAAGCTCAGAGACAGGTGGAAGAGAAATGGTGATTAGCTGAATAGTTTCATAGAAGTTATGAAATGCATGCCACCAGCATCCCTTTAACAGCTAGAAGAAATGCTAGCTGGGAAAATGGACTAGTGGAAAAAAAAAAAAAACACGTTCTCAGACCTGCCACTTATGGCTGTGACTCAGCATCATGACTGTCTTCTGACATATAATCTGCTGCTATCACGTACTTAAAGGGTTCCTTAACGTGAAGTGGCAGAACCTGTGTTTTCATTCTTAAATGCCCTCAGGTTTGCTTTTACCTGGGGCTCACGAATGCCTAGCTCACCTCATCTCTTAGCTGGGCAGAGGGGAATATGCTTATAACTGTCTTAAGATTTTCATCTGAAATGTAGAGTTCACTGTTTGAACATATGAATATGCAACTATGAGGCAGAAGTTGTCAGAAAATCACGCAGCTAGTCACTGGAACAAACAAGGGAAGAGAAATGTCTTAATATCAGAGTTATCTTGACATTTCCCAGCATAACCAGATCTGACTGTGGTCTGCAAGAAATCAATTCACAGGGAAGCCACAAATACCAGCTAATGCCTTGATTCATAAACTTTTATCCATGCTGGTGTGAAAGTCCTATTAAAGTAAACAGAACCCTAGTCCCATATAGTCTAATTGTAGGACCACAGCAGACAGGAAGCCAAGCAGCCCATGTGAAAGCTCTCTGGGGGTGAAGGCAGGGGTGTGAGGTGGAAGCCAGCCACACATGGTTTATTTCATCTAGATTCCTGTTGTCCTTATTTTACCTATTCTGGACAGTCTGAAGTCACACGATTGCTCAGTACCTTAGTTTTGTTAGGAGTATATAAATATTGATTGTTACTGGAAATGTTCCAAAAGCCTTTTAAACTAACACTTTTGTGCCGCACTCAATTATTATTCACATATTTTGGAAAGAAGAGTTCTCAGTTCCACTCGCTTAACAAATGCTTTTATTTAGTATTGTGACAAACTTATAGGACTAGGTAAATTGCTGGAAGACTTCAGATTTTTTTAACATCACAGATCACACCTTTAGATGGGCTCTTTTTGACAGAGGGGAAGAAAGTTTAGAACAGTGTACAGCATAAATAATTCCCAACTAATGACCTAAAATTTCAGGGTCAGGTCTTCTATAGATTTATTATTAATCTCTTAACCTCATCTGATTTAGGGTGTGGGGCAATTGTTCTTAAAGACAGTTAGGGATTTTTTTCATAATTGAGAAAGTGTTTGTTTTAGCTGTGTTCTCAGGCTTTTATTGATGGGAGCTTTTGATAGGATTTCCTTCAGTGCATGGTATGCTTCTGATGAAGAGGGGGACTTGAGGGCTATTTACTTAGTTATGGGATGCTAGCAATAAATGGGGCTACATGGAAAGTTATTCTTACAGATACTGCAAGGGAAATAGAAATAGCCATGAGGACAGACTCTTATTTAGTGGAAAGATAAGTACAACTGTGCTTGCAACAATTATTTCAGAAACCTGTGAAACTAAATATGCAATGAAGAGCCAGAAGTGCAGCTCATATTTCCAAGACCCTGGTTCAAAACTTAGCAAGGTCAGAGATGGGATTAACTTCTTCCACAGAGATAGCTTCCTCATCTACAGCTTCGTCATGAGGGGGAGTAGAGGGGCAGGCTCCAACCTATTCTCCTTAATCACCGGTGATAGAACCCATTGGAATAGTGGGAATGGTGTCAAGCTAAGGCAGGGAAGGTTTAGGCTAGACAAGCAGGAAGAGGTACTTCACCAAGAGGGTGGTTGCACACTAGAACAAGCTCCTGAGGGAAGTAGTCACTGCACCAAGCCTGTCGGAATTTAAGCAGCATTTGGTCTGTGCACTTAATCTCATGGTCTAAAATTTTGGGTAGGCCTGTGTGTTGCCAGGAGTTGGACTGGACATAATGTTTTCCTGTGAAGAACTGTCCATATGTTATCAACCATACAGGCTGTGAACACAGAGCTCTACAGCACAACTAGGCATGCAACACCTAATCATGAAAACAGTATTTCAATATATTAATAAAAAATGCTACATTTGAAGAGGTAAAGCTTATTGAAACTATAACAGGAGGAATAAATACTTTTCCTGTCAGGTGCCCTCTACTGGTAGTCCTGTTTTAAGCCCTAACGCTAAAGCAAGAACTATTGCACTGCAAGGAGCTGCTCAGCAGGGAAAAATACAAAGTTTCCCCTTCTGCTTGGAAGCTACAGCCCTTCTTATGTTTCTTCTTACATCAGCAGTCTCTTGAACTAGTAAAAGTAAGTCCCGTTTAGGTGAAGAGCCTTAATAACTGCTTTACTTACAATGTGAAAATGGCAGAAGATTTTTATGTATTCTTTTAAATACACTGAGAAGCATGCCTCCATACTGGTTGTTGCTGTGTGGAAGGAACTAACTAAACACAAACCCTTAAACCTTGTAGGCAGACTTAGCAGATTAGTCAACCACATGCTTGAGTCTATTAATATATATTTCTATTGCCATGGCAGCAGGTTAAAGTTAGAAGTAACTAGATTTGAATAATTTAAACATGCTAAAAATACCAACTTCCAGGTTTAAATGGTTCTATTTGTCACTACACTGTCACCCATAATGACAATAACCACCTATGTTAGAAAGTCTACTTAGAAAACAGGCACCAAATATGCAAGTAGTTCTGTCTATTCCTACTCCAAAATTTATGTTATAAGGTTCCTCTTGCATGGAAACTGAGAAACAAAGCTATTGAGAAACAAAAATGTTGTTTCTCAACAACAGTGAACACATGCAATTTGACTTTTATCATGAAGCAATAACCAAAAATCAGAAGAAGGCCAAATAGATTTAGTTTGAATCAGCTTGGCCTGGCCAAAGTTGTCTTCATGAAAATCTGAGCTCTGTTTCATAAAGTTTCTCTTCCACATGCTTGTAACTACACAAACTCTACAAAGAAAAAGAAACTTTAGGTTTAGAAAAAAAATATTTTTCAACATACAAGAAATCAGCCAAAAATTCAGAGAATACTGAACTGTATTGTCATATCATTTCTCAAAACACTGACTATTAATTTGGAAAAAAAATAAAGCATTTGGCCTTAGAAAGGCGGTAGAAAATGTAGTTCACCTACATCAGTTTGCCAAAGAGAAAACCAAATAAGATAGTGCTCTTGTTCCTAAGAACTCCTGAGTGCTCAAGAGCCTCCAAATTAATCCAGTGCCAATCCCAATCAATATAAACCACTCACCTAAGTAAAATCACTCAGGTGCATTAGTGCTTCCAGGACTGCCTGTTTGACAGGAGTGGGAAAGATTCATGGCTCAGTTTTAACAACAACAACAAAAGAATTTCTCTCTCTGTATCCGTATTTATCACAGACACAGATTTCAAGATCTTGGCTTGTCATATTCATTTTTTAATTAAAAACTAGCAGTGAACATTAAACATCACCCCAATTTTATTTTTCAATATGCAAATTACAGTTCCATGACTACAAGCAACAGTATAAAGATGCAGCTTTGAACCATGAAGGTACAAGAAAAAGGTACAAGAAAAAGAGATAATTTTAACACCAAATGATTATGGTTACAAATTTACGTATCAGCAGCCCAGTTGATCTGGTTTAACAGACAGTGGATGAGGGATTTTGAAAGAACAAAAAGGAATGCATCAAAATGTGGAAGAATGAGTGGTTAGCTCTATGAGTTAATGTAGCTTAGGAATAGACCATCTTTTCACCTTAAGGATGAAAAAACTGCTCCTTCCCCCTTTGTATTCCAAACCTACAGAGACTAAAACATTTTCAATTTACAATAATTTCCCCTCCCCAACCATCTACTCCAACTCTTTGCTGCTGGCCAGACCATAAAGCTATGGTTAAATACATATTTATTCAGTTTATAAGAATGAATCCAACTCTTTCACAATTACTTTGATTTTCTCCACGTATGCTAGTAGAATTGACTACGTGCTACTTGAATTCTGTTGTCCCTCACCTCAAGTCATGTATGTGAAGGTGGATTGGTGCAAGACAGGTAAGAGCTTCTGTAGAGAAAAAGCCAGCCACATTGGGAATTTTTTTTCACCTACAACATTTTCTCTTCCATGAAACCCCAAAGAGGGCATTAGTTCAATTAGACCAAAGTGAAAGGAGTGAGAGTCTTCACTTCAGGGTCCATGTTCACTCCCAAGAAGCAACAAAACAACCCCACAGTCTGTGACATGCTGGCTCAAAGAAGCCTCTCCCCCATCCATCATCTTGTGCAGCTCAGTGAGTGGAAAAGGAAAATGTTTTGTTGATTCTGTTTTACTGATAAATGAAGCAATGTTATGGCTCTGGTGAAGGAAAGATGGTGAAAGACCCCCTAAGCCAGGGGCTGGTAAGGATACAGATGCAACTGTATGTTGGTGACATGACAAAAAAGGACCAAAAGGCCATCAAGTCACTGTGGCCTCTGACCACCACCTGCAGTTCAGTCATAGGTGGGAGGCAGCCAAACTGCAGTTCTGGTATGCCAGAGATCCTCCTAGGGTGCAAGAGAAAAGCAGGGTGGTTTGTTCCACAGACAGAACACAAAATACTGAATTCTCCTAAACACTGCGCACAACAGGAACAAGAGGCTAATTGGCAAACGGGGCTGCAGCAAGGAGCTTCTGAGAGGGATTTTAAGGAGGAAGAGAAGAGCCAGCTAAGCGTACAGAATAAGCTGATACTAATAGCTGGGTAAAACATAGATACAGGGAACAGAAGTGTTTTAAATTTGTTGCAACTGTATTTCCAGCACTGCTTCATTCACTTCCCCCACTAGATTGCCACTCTAAATATCCATTAGGTTACACTGTGCTGGGAGATTCATCTCCCAGGATCATTAGGCATCTCTCAGTTGAGTTTCCCAATAAAAAAAATGAAAGTTACAGTTTAGTGGCATAGCTGCAGTTACTGAAATATCCGTCTCTGCTGGCTGAAGGACTCCAAGGTGGGGAAGGAAGGGAAGAGGAACAGCCACAGCAAAGAGCAGTGAGTCAGGGAAGGACACAGGAAAGGGAGTGGCTTATATCAAGAGAAGCATACAGAAAAAGGGAAGGGTGGTGTGTGTTAGCAGAGACCATTTCACTGCCCTCTTGTTTCATAATGTAGAGTTAAGAAATCTTGTTCAGCCCAGGACCAAGACTGGAAGTTCACCTCCCTCATCCCTCCTGCTGTATATTCCAGTCAGTTCTTTCCACGTGTGCTCCAGATAACTGGGTGTTACCTGCATAAAACCAACATACTTGCATGTTAGTTGCAGACCAAACACATGGCTTGAGCACCCTGTAAGAAGCAAAGCAAAGCCAAAACATCTCACTGTAAGGAGCAATTACATTACATGGCACCACACAAAGCAGGCTGTCACACTAACTCATAGGATGATTTTTCATGCTTTTGTATATGCTGATTCATGCTAAGGACCTGTGTGAATTTTTCTTACACAACCAGTTCAACATCTAAAGTGATCCCTTTTCTTTTTAATATATCTAAGGATAGTTATGACCAAACTTCAGATGGATTTGCCTGTCAAAAGTCTTGAAGGACACTATTATTCCTGCACACCCTCAATTGGCACCCCCGGGCCTTTCAGAGAAGCAAGAAAATGAAGTGAAAAGAATTGTTGGCTGAAAATCTGAAGATGTAAACATTTGCAAAACAATCGTATTCATAATTTCAAAGGAAGAAAACATAATGAGGAAAGCGTACATTAAAAAAAAGAAAATGTCAGCAAATTTGGAGTAGTCATGACAGTCCCTGGGGATAAACTCAAAGAAAATACAGGAGAGCTGGTGGTTAAAGGATAGAAAGAACACAATATGAAATATTCTTGCTTCAGATAAAACAGAAGTAGAGATTCAGTATCTCTAAACAATCCAGATAATCAAGAGGGAATTGTATTTAAAGTGGAATTGCACTGAAAGTGGAAATACAATTCAGGACAAGTGTAAAAGAGTAGCCATTCAATGTAGCCATTGAATTGAAAAGAGAGAAACAGAAAACAAGTTATAACTAGCTATTAATGTAAATAAGAAAAAGTTCTTTAAGTGCATTACCCATAGCAGAAGATAAATCAAGTTTTATATTTTTAGTAAAATAACAGCAAATGAAGAAAAGCTCAAGTATCTAAAGCTGTTGTGAATTCAGTTTTTACTAAAAAGGTTAATTGTTTAGGTATCTGTAACTAATTTTAGCTAGGAAATAAATGTGTAGGACAGGAATAAGAAAAGGACAAGTTGAAGCACATTCAAGTTAGATGTGAATCAAATTTTAGGAACTTGATACAATGCACTTTCAAGTACTCAAGGAATTAACTTAAGCCATCTAAGAACCATTAGTAATTATCTTTGAGAACTCTGAGGCCAGAGAAATCCTGTGGGACCTGGGAAGGGCAAACGGCACCAACTCAGTAGAGAAGATGGAAGGACTGCCCAATGATTTAAAGATCAGCCAGACCTACTGGCAAGTGTATTGGAACATTGCTTAAAACTGAGACCAAAATGTGAGGATAGACTAGATGGATTTCTTGAGAACAAATTAGGCCAGTCTCCAAACACGGGCATTGCTAATAATGGAGACATGCAAAGTTGCAGGCATGCTCCAATAAGCCTTCTGATGACTAGAAAATAAGTTTTCATAAGTTTTATAAGAAAACTCAAGAATTATAGCCTAAATCAAGTTATGAAGTATATAGACAGATGGTTTTAAAATAGACTTTAAAGCTATTCCCATTTTATCAGATTGAAGTTAAGATATTTCTAGGGGTCTTCCACAGGAGGTCTTCTCTAGACTTTGTTCTGCTTTGTATTTTCATCTGGGGTTGCAGATGAGACTGTACTTCATAAGATTGAGAGATGTGTTTTAGCAAGAGATGCACATTTTCACAAATGCAATTGTCTGAGTGGTCCCACAGCAGTAAGCCGATAACAGAGCAGTATTTTGCTAGAGGACAGGGAACAGTTATTTTAAGTTGGAGACATTCTGTAAAGGTTGTTTTGCTTTAAATGCTGCGTGTAGTTACTGTGCTCAGCAAGTCTAATGTTACCTCCTGCTTCTGAAAGAAACCTAGCAGCAGAGCCATGCACTGAAGTGACAATGCTGAAGACAGATAGAAGAAGATGAGGATTTATCAGCTGAGATAAGGGGCTTTGGCTTCCTCATTAGTTACAGTCACTGTGGCTGAGCACCTGCATAGCTTCTTCCTCTGGACCGGCAGGGACAAAGCTAGTTGCAAATTGCTAGGAATGCTGCATTTATCATCAGCTCCAATTCACTTCTAACCTAAGCAGTAGTAATACAGTTGTAGTTATACCCCATGTAGGAGGAAAATGTAACAGTTGTAATAAAGAAACCATTTGGATCAACTGTTGCAGAAAGGCTGTATTTCAGGATTTCTGGAAGAGAAAGTGATTCATAGAAGATTATAGTCCCCACCATACCTGAAAAAGCAGGTGCAACTACTCTCTGTACTGGAGAATATCTTTTAAGAACCATATCATAAAGGCAAGTTAGTCTAGCTGAGAAGCAGGACATGTTACTTGGGTGACATTCTGATCTTGCATGACAATCTTACTCAAGACCACTTAAAGCAGAAAATATTCAGTCCCTTTTATTACCTTATCTTTATGCACTCCCCCATGAAATCCACGTACCTCTGAAATCTGAAACTTTACAAGTTTAAAAAGAAAAATCACAAGTAGCAGGAGATCAACCAGTCACATAGCAACTAAAAAAGTAAAGACGACACGGCTGTCTTTCCTCAGGAAAAATATGCTATTATCTCAGACCTTTTGTAATAAAAAATAAAAAACACCAGTGAAGTTTGAATGGGTCCGTGTTGCATAAGATCTGCAAAAGTTTTTCCCTGCATCTGCAGTGTTCAAAACAGACTGGACACATCTTTTCCATTACAAAGGGCTCAAAGACAATACTATCCATAATATGACTTGACCCAGAAGAATACTAACTCAAGGAATGCACATCTTGACAGTGGAACTGAAGATAAAACTTAGCATGATACAGTAAACAAATTGTTGATATAATAGTTGTATATTTATCAAAAAAGTTGCTGAGGTTTTGCATACTGAGCTAAATTACATTCACACAGAGGTACATGAAGAACAGCATGAAAGGAGTTCATCCCCGCTTGTGGTCTTTCACATGCTTTGACTCTAGCATGAGGACCAGGAGGCATAAAGTAATAGCATAAACAACCAAAAAAAGAATGGATATGATGAACACTATTGCTTTTCCTCCTGTCCTCCTGGAATTCATTCTCAGCAAGCCAATGGGAATGAGAGTGCACAATATTTGGAAACAGAACAGCAGGGGAATGAACAGGTTTGTTTCTTGATTTCTCAGAGTACTTTCCACAAGTTCTTTCTTCACGTGATATTAAGGTTTTCCCAAATCTGGAAGAATAGCATGAACAAATTTTTCTTAAAAAGACTGGCAAGTCGAGAGGTTAAACTTTAGCAAGAAACATTACCTAAAAATTCATTGAACCTCTGACTCCGTAGAGCAGTTAGTTATTTACCTAAAATAAATCCTCTCCTAAAATGGCTCTTCCCCTCCCCCCCAACCACTCCCTGCACCCATGATTGGTTATTACAACATCTTTCAATCTTAATGAGACTAAATTTCTAATGTAAAACAACTTCTAATATAAAACACGGGCAGTGTTCTCCTCTCACTTCCTCACAAACACTGCAGCTCTTATATAAGGCAGCAAGACAGGTCACCATCCTTTTTTTTTTTTTTTTTTTTGTCCAAGTAACGAAGTATTTCAAAGCCATATCCCCCAGGTATTGCATATACAGACACACATGCATAGATCCTGCTGTGCACTGAGACTTGAAGTTACAATACAACAGTAAAGGTATATTTTTCCTTCAAAGTCCATTTGTAATCCCCCATTAATACTTACGAGAGCTGTGCAAACCCATTAAGAAAGATAAATATACTTCCCCCCTGGGCATAGCCTTGAATTACAAACCAATAAGGGCTACAGAGGTCTGACACCTAGAAGAAAACCTTGAAAATCTGTATTTCTAATGGAGATGCACCTGCTTCTCACTCAGCAGTGAGTACAGTACAGCGTTACACTCACCTCTGCTGCTATCATTACACAGATATACTCTCTCTGTGGTAAAAGATAAATGCTAATGATATTTAAAATCCATTTATAAATCAGCCCTTTTGGAATCTCCCTCCCCATCTGTATGCATTTACTTGGTTGAAGATCTGTCCACAGTACTCAGACATCTTCTGTTGAAAAGTCATGTAGACATTTATTCAAAGACCAGAGATCTTCAGCAGGTTTCCAAGTTCACAGAATCACAGAATTGAAGAGGTTGGAAGGGACCTTGAAAGATCATCAGGTCCAACCCCCCTGTCAAAGCAGGTTCCTTAGAGCAGGCTGCCCAGGTAGGTGTCCAGACGGGCCTTAAATATCTCCAGAGAAGGGACTCCACAACCTCCCCGGGCAACCTGTCCCAGTGCTCTGTCACCCTCACCGTGAAGAAGTTCTTTGGCGTATTGGTGCGGAACTTCCTGTGCTCTATCTTGTGACCATTACTCCTTGTCCTGTTCCCACAAACCACTGAAAAGAGGTTGGCCAAATCCCTCCGTCTCCCACACCTCAGGTATTTATACACATTTATGAGATCTTCTCTCAGTCTTCTTTTATTCAGGCTGAACAGACCCAGGTCTCTCAGCCTTTCCTCATAAGGAAGATGCTCCAGGCCCTGTATCACCTTTGTGGCCCTCTGCTGGACTCTTTCCAGAGATCCCTATCTTTCTTGTACCAGGGAGCCCAGAACTGGACACAGTACTCCAGGTGAGGCCTGACCAGGGCAGAGTAGAGGGAGAGAATCACCTCCTTTTACCTGCTGGCCATGCTCATTTGAATGCACTCCAGGATCCCATTGGCCCTCTTGGCCACTAGGGCACACCGCTGGCTCATGGTCAACCCATCGTCCACCAGGACCCCCAGGTCCTTCTCCTCAGAGCTCCTCTCCAGCAGGTCGTCCCCCAGCCTGTACTGATATATGTGGTTTTTCCTTCCCAGGCGCAGGACTCTACACTTGCTCTTGTTAAACCTCATTTGTTTTCTTCCTGCCCATCTCTCCAGCCTGTCCAGGTCTGGCTGAATGGCAGCACAGCCTTCTGGCATGTCAGCCACTCCTCCCAGCTTTGTGTCATTGGCATACTGCTAAGGGCAGACAC